CTAAAAAACATTTAAATCCTAAGAGCCATTGGTGTCTTTTTCCTTTTACCTACTACTAAAATATACAAGGGATAATATAACAAACATCCTTAGGCCTATCAAGCAGTTCCAGAAATACAAATTATTGACATATTTGATATCCCTCCTCAATTTTATCACCCAAGACCCAAACGTAATCAGGATCCTGAATTGTATTTATCATTTACATGCATTTTTAAAATACTGTAACACATATGTAGGTATTTCTAGACAGTATATGGATTATTTTGCATGTTTATACTTATCAATTTGCTTTCTTCCCTAGTAATACTGTATGATTCATCAATATGAATATGTATAGCTCTGGTGTATTCATTTTCACAGTTTTGGTACTAGCTTGTAGCAAGGTCTTTTTCATCTTCTAACCTGAGTTAGAAGCCCAAAGCTTGAGCGTTTTTGTAAGGACCATTTATAACTAAATTTAATGATCTCTATTAGGAGGAAGGCTACCTGGGCAAGCAGATCACTTAATAATTTAATTTGAACTTAGCATTAACAATATTAAAAAATATATCGCAGCACAGAAGTAATATGTCTTCATTATGGAAAATTGTATATGCTCAAAAGAGAATAAACATAATTATCTGTAATCCTTTCACCTAGCTAGTTTGTTTCCATGCACATATCTATTTAGGCAAAAATGAGAATCTATATATACTGTGTATGTATACTATGTAGTAATTTGCTTTTTAAAAACCCAACAATATGTTGTGCATGTTTTTCCACATTCTTAAATATTCTTTTAAAACATGTTTGATTCCCACAGAATATTCCACTCTCAGAAGTGCAATTAGTTGAATAGCCATATGGTTCTTATTGTTGGTTATTTCCAGGTTTTTGAAGTTAACATTAAAAAAAAATAAGTAAATAAACGCCTTTTGAGAACGTTAAGCAATATTTATGTTTGTTCCTTAAATTTTTTTCAGAAGTACAATGGGGCCTTGTATAGTTACTGAATCAAAGGAATTTTGAGGAAAAACTGCATGGAGCAGCTTAACCTAGGAAAAGTTCAAGTTTTTAAAATAAAGAGCAACTGCTCTCCAGCTTCTAAGCTTATTTAAAATGTTATTCTAGCCCCAGCCAGTTTGTCTCAGTGGATAGGGCAATGGTCCGAGGACTGAAAGGTCCCGGGCTCCATTCTGGTCAAGGGCACGCAGGCCCACCCATGCAGGAGGCGACTAATCAATATGTCTGTTTCACACCCATGTTTCTCTCTGCCTTTCCCCCTCCCTTCCACTCTCTCTAAAAAACAATGGAAAAATATCCTCGGGTGAGGATTAGCAAAAAAAAATAAAGTTATTCTATCTGAAAATAAGTAACATCACAACTTTCACATTTAAATGCAAGAGGCGAAAGGCTGCTTAAGAGCAGTGTTTTGAAGATTCAAATGACTTAATTTTGAAGTTAATGATTTCTTCCTATAATTATTACAAGGTGTGAGAATCCTTGAAAAGTCTTAGAGATGTGCAGAAATTAATTTTTTTGTTTTTCAGGAAGAGATTCTTATCACCATAAATGGTTCCTGTGGAATATTAAATTGCTTTTCTTTTCCCATCTCCTCAAGAAAAAAATTAAAAGTTAATTGCTCCAATATATTCAATTCCTTAGAAAGGGAAGAAGAGAAAGGGAGAAAAAAGGTCAACAACTACGACTTCAATTATTACTGCATTTGTATAGTAACTCCTGATTCTTTTCTAAGTATTTAGAGCCCTGAGCATGAGGAATTCCAGAACAGCGTGACAGCAGGACTCACATTAGAAATATTTCTGTGGGCTTTATCCATTTTGAAAGTGCTGACTGCTGCTTTGCAGTTTTTTAATTCAAGTCCAGACCATAAGAAATTGTTTAAGAATTAAGAACTTGAGTTGTTTAAAGTATTCATTAGTATATGCAAGAGAACCACTTTATGTCTATTTGAAATCCACAGAATACAGAATTGAGTTTAATATCTGTCACTAACTGCTCTTATTTTTTCATATGGGGATATTGTTGTACAATCAAGGCAACTTTTGCTACTCTAAATAAAACTTGCAGTTAAAAAAGCCACATAAATATATTGTTACTTTTTTATTAATGTGTAACATACACATAAAGTACACAAATTGTCAGTATACAATTCAATAGCATTTTACACATAGGTATGCCTGTGTAACCCTCTGATCAAGATCTAGAACAGGGGTCCTCAAACTACGGTCCGCGGGCCATGTGCAGCCCGCAGAAAACATTTCTCCGGCCCGCCGGGTGGTTTGCCGCTGCTGCCTGTCCTGCTTGGCAGCCAACTCGTCCCGTGCCCGCAGTGCGCATGTGTGGAATGTCTGAGGGACAGTGAACTGGCCCCCTGTTTAAAACTTTTGAGGACCTCTGATCTAGAAGGTCTCCTGGTCTAATTAACATGTTAACCTTTGATTAGTAACTTTCCTTAAGGTGACACTACTGACTTCTGTCAGGACTTGGTCTTCATATGAATTAAATCATACAACTGTATAATTTTTTGTCTGTTGTTGAGATTTATCCAAGTTGTTACGGATAGCAGTACTTTCTTGTTGTTTTGTTTCTTCTTTATTTTTGTTGTGTAGTAGCCTGTTGTATTGTGTAGTAGACTGTCCCACAATTTATTTATTGTTCATTTGGATGGTTTCCAGTTTGGGCTGTTATGAATAAAGCTTCTATGAATGTTCTTCAACATGTTTTTGGGGGGTTATATGTGCTCATTTCTCTTAAGTCTGTAGAGTAGTGGAATTACTAGGTAGTAAGTATTGTTTAGCTTTAGTAAATATTGCTAAACAATTTTCTAAAGTCATTATAGCAAGTGATATGTTCCCACTGGCTATGAGTGTAAGTTTCAGTTGCTCCAAATTCCCACCAGTCTCTAACCAGTCTATGAAATTGCAGTTATTCTGTTTGGTGTGTATAGTGGTATCTTACTGGGTTTTAGTTTGTGTTTCCCTGATGAGTAATGTTCTTGAAACATTTTCATGTACTTATTGACCAGTGGATAACTTCTTTGCAGTGTGCCCATTCAAATCTTTTACCATTTTTGATTGGGTTGTATTTTTTTTACTGATTTGTGTATATGATGGAACTCATTATATATACATATTTTTGGTTGGAAATTTTATATATATATACATATATATGTTGCAGATATCTCATTCCTGCCTTTTTGTGCTCTTAATAGTATGAGAACATGGTGTTCTTAATTTTGATAGAGCCCAATGTGTCAAAATGGCTGTAGTGCTAAGGTTGAAAAACCCTGATAGTTCAGTCCCTTCATTAATAAGAAACCTAGGCCCACATGAAGTGATTTGCTGTTACCTATTTTAAAAAGTGTGGACACTACATTCTGGACCAGAAATTACTGTGGAGCTGGGTGGAGGCAGTACTATGCATTGTAGGATGTTTAGCAGCATCCTTGGCTTCCACTCACTAGATGCTAGTAGCACTCCTCTTTCCCCAGTGTGACAACCAGAAAAGTCTTCAGGCGCTGCCAGATGTCCCTGAGGAGCAAAACTGCCCCAGGTTGAGAACCACTGGACTAGATGTTTGCCTGAGGTGTTTATATTGTGGCCCTGCCCTCACTAGGATTTTTCAGTTTGTTCCGTTGCCCACACGGAAGTCACAGCCAGAGGTTTTTTTTGCATCAGGCCTTTGTGCCCCTTTTTCCTTGCTTCTTGCGCTTCGGTGGGTTTATAGTTAGGTATAGACAGAAAATTACCAGAATATTTCCTTCTGATACATTATTTCTGATGTCAAAAACAGCCAACTCTTTGCTGCCCTGTCTGGTAAGTATAAAAACACTCCCAAGTATCGGGGTGTCTATTTTTGATATTTCAAAAAAGGTTTAACTATAAGAGATCTTCTAATCTGTGTCCTAGAAAATGTTTACCTTTCAGTCTGTCCTGAATATGGTTGGCTCTTGAAAGACTCGGTAAAGCTTATGCTGTGCAGAGGATGACAGAAGCAGGAACCACTTCCCTGAGAGATGCCTATCTTTTCCAGCCTCGTGTAGTCCAGTTTCCACTTAGAGACTTGTAGAGGAGCCCACAGTCTCAGCCCTTTCAGGGAAGGCACTAAAGCACTGCCTGGGAATTGAGTACACACATCAATCAGGCTGATAAGTCTTATCCCCAGTTAATACATAATAAAATATTAACAAAGCCAAATCAAATGAGTTTTTAGTTTAGCTATGTAAGTGGAAAGCAATTACGAGGTCTGTTGCATAAAGAATTCCAGTTCCGTGGTAGAGTAGCAAATAAATGGGATTGGGGGCGGGTGACAGAAGGGAGATAGATAAATCACCCATTATTATCTCATTGCTATCAGCTGTGGTTCTTTAAGGCCAGCATAGTGGCTTTTTCAGGTTTCCTAACAGCTGGATTTTAAGGTCAGCTTTAAGAAATAAACTTGTATTAATATTAGTGAATAAATTTGAGGGATCTGTCCTGTGCTGTGAGTAATTTGTAGTAACTAACAGAAAGGCCCTGTAATAGTCCAGTATTGGTTTTTACTTAATAAAATATTTAATCATAAATGTCTGAATTCTGCATCTCCCACAGGAAGGCATTTCCATGCCCACCGACAAAAATAATTTAGCACTTTCATAGCTGAGCGCTTAATTACTCATAATTGTGAGGGGTAAGATGTGATGAATTCTTCCTCGATGGACATACTAAATATTTTAACCAAGTAGATGGCTTAAAGTAAATTAAGCTTTGTGAGATCATTCATTACATTGGTTAAAAGCAGTTTGAGTGTATCATGTCCTGCATTCCATTAGATGATAATATTCATGTGACTCTCCTGCTGTGAGACTACAGGCCGCACTGTTGGGATGGATGGCAGATAGTTTTGGATGGGGGTTGGGTGGTGAGTATTAAGAAGTTGTTGGTGGGGGTTCTTGGATTTGTTTTACGTTTTGCCTAAGTCACTAATGAGGATTCTTAACTATATGTAGAGTTTGGTTATTAAATTAATGGTAAAATGCTTTGTGCCCTTTATTTGGTATGAGAATAATTATCCTAATATCAGAACAACAAAAGAGATTGGCAGTAAAGGCTCTCCCTTAAACCTTGTTGGTGTGTTCTTCAGGGAAGATGGCCTGATTTGCAAAGTAATGTCAGAAGCAGTCAAAAGGTAGAATGAAGACGTAAAGGTACAAGCAGAAAGCGTTTTTAAAATGCTCTATTAAATTCCTGAATTAGAAAGAAACTTAAATATTGGAGTAGAGGAAATAGGAAGTCAGGTATTTGGAGTTAGCTGAATGTGTCACTGCAGCAACAGTTGTGATACTGGAAAGGGCTCAAGAGCCTCCTGCTTACCATTAGGGAAGGTTGAAACAACTTGTCTCATTAAGTTAAGCTTCTTCCCTTGAGTGTCTTATTTAGCTTTACTTCTCTTAATTCGCTTTCCCTGATGATTCCGGTAAAGTGTCTGAAACCTCTAAAGGTAAAAGGTTGAAGCAATCCCAAATTTAATAATCTATCACCTTTCTTCAGTGTATTTGAATTTAATTCCCAGAAGTTCTTAGAGAATTCATTAGAAGATAGCAAGTCATTAAAAGTTAATAAGAAACTCTTTGTTTCTGTGAATGTGAATACTGTAAAACCACTTTGTAAGTCTGACATTCTTTTCCAGTCATAAAGGCTTTGCTTTTAGCCAGTCTCCATTTTCTCTATCTCTTTAGGTTACTCCTGGATGGGGCACCTCTGATAGCAATCCACAAAGCCAGGTATTACAAGAGGAAAGATGGCTTAGCCCTGGGGCCCGGACCATTTGTGACTGCTTTGGAGTATGCCACAGATACCAAAGCCACAGTAGTAGGAAAACCAGAGAAAACATTCTTTTTGGAAGCACTGCGGGACACTGGCTGTGAACCTGAGGAGGCCGTCATGATAGGAGACGTAAGTAGAAGAGCCCCGGAAATGCCCTGAGCTCACCTGCCGTGCTGGGCTGAGCCAGCTTGGAAGCACTGCTTCACACCCAAGCAGACTCTGCTGCTGATGACATCAGATGGAGAGAAATGGCTGCCTCTAAGTCAGGCCTCACGTAGATGTTACTGGTATTCTTCTAAATAACTGAAATTTTGATTATTTCTGACAGTCTCTATAGTATAATGAGATATGTATAATTCAAAAGACCATTAAATGCAAGTCATTCAAATGCTTGATATGTCTTTTTAAAGAAACCTTTACAGAAATTTAGATTTTTCTAATATTATTTACGCAGGGAACAACCTATACCTAAAGAATTCTACCATTATTGATTTTTTTCTTAGTAAATGCTATATGGAAGAACTTCCCAATGTGTCACAAATAGCTACAGGCATTGGTTGCCTCAGCCCTTTGAGTGGCAAGTCTGGGCGTTTGGAGGCTCTGGCCGTGAGCACCTTGTCAGTTTACTCTAGTGTCCTGGGGAAACATCCACGTGTGCCACGAGGGAGAAAGAGCTAGAAAGCACACTGCCTTGTGTTAAGTAGGTGGCAGTGATTACTAGTATATTTTAGTTATAAAGAATAACGTGTTAGGCTGGAAGGGGCCATCAAGATTGTCTGGTCCGAATCTCTCCATTTTTGACTGGGAAACTGAAGCCTGGAGCCGGAAGTCTGCACGCCTCCATTCCTGCAGCTAATTAGTGGCACAGCTGGAAGTAAAACTTGAGGCTCTGGACCCTGCCAAGACAAACTGTAGATCCCTTGCTTTCCTGACTTGTGGTGGTGCAAGTGTTTCACGGTTCTCCTGACACCCTCTTCCACTTCGGGTGTGTTCACCTCACACTGAATAGGATATCATTGAACTTGGTATTGTTTTCAGAAGCCATCTTTTCAGTCACATCTATAGTCAAGTCTTTATCTGACTTTCCTAGGCAGATATGTGTTTGAAAGGTGGTTATCAGAGTTTTTTATCCTGGGAGATACTGGTTTAGGGACAGTGGGAGGCAGGAAAGGCATGCAGTAGCAGCTTCATGCAGGGTCCTTTGTTAGCCCAGAGAGGCGCGGTTTCTTCCCTCCCTTTCTTTGTCCACCTTTCCCCACCTTCCTTCTTCTTTCTCTTCCTCTCCCCCATCTTCACTGCTTCAACAGGGAAAGTTTAGACGCAACAGAAAAGGTTTTAAGTCAGCCTTTGAATGAAGATTTTGACATTCTAGGACTCATTTCCAAGGGCTGTTGCTGAATAATATTAATGACTTTAATGGAAAAATATTTTCTTCAAGCATGATCTGAATGAATCCTGCTTATAGATATGTGATAGCAGGATTGATTTTCTTGATGTTTCTCCCAGACCTTGGATTTTCTTACCTTGTGTTTATCATCACAATCAACCAAGCATATTCATCCCCATCTTGAGTAAGAATTGGAAAGAGGACCTCCTTTTCTAACTGATCTGTTGTTCCCAAGTGTGAAGTGAATATCAGACAGTCCCATGGTCTAAGCATACTGAATTGACTTGATTACAGCTGTTAGGGACAATCAGATGGAAAGTAAGGATAATATATTACATGGGCAGCAGAAAAGCTTTCTTCTGAGTCTAGTTCATTCACTGTTTGCAGTTGGATCATCCACCTTAAAAGCTGCCAAATGGATAGGATGCTTTTTCCATGATCTGTTTTAAGAGATCGATGCACACACGTGGCAACATTGAAGGACTGTGACTGTGCTCTCTGTGTTTGGTACTAGAATGATTGCTCTGTTGTACACCTTCCACCTCTGTGACACTTCCCTTTCCAAATGGTGTGTGCTGCCTCAGACTGTTACATGTGAATTTACCCATTTTTACATCTTCCTGTCTTTCATTCAAAAAGCAAACAAACACGGGGTTACAGTTGGCCATCCCAGCCTAATAAGTCAAATCAATTGGTTGGTAGGGTTTTATTGGCAAGTAAATTGAAGACCCTGTACTAAATGCTTTCTTTGTGCTTTCTAGGATTGCAGGGATGATGTTGGTGGGGCTCAGAATGTTGGCATGCTGGGCATCTTAGTAAAAACTGGTATGTATCTTCTGTATAAACCTTCTCTAAAACAGGATGGTGGAATACAGAGTTGCTTAAAGGAAAGTTCTTACAGAAATGGCAAAGCCAAATCACTGGACACTATAATTCTCTTTCTGCCACAAAGCAAAAATAAAATGATCTTAGGATTACAAGGAAAAAACACGGGAGGGCCCATGCTGTGCAATACTAGATCAGGAAGCCTATTCACTTATCTACCCAGGAAAGCACAGACTGCCACAGTGAGTGGGTCAGGCAGGAGTGATGATGGCCTGCTTCATTCACTCAGCCAACATTATTGAGCACCAACTGTATGCCTGACACAATGGGAGGTGCTAGAGTTATCACACATATGTAAGCCACTGTGTCAATTTGTACTTTTTAGAAAGCCCACTTGCTGGCCAGTGTATGCAGAAGCATTCTGCGAGCCCTTATCAACATGGCCAAGAAACTTGCCTTTCTCATATTTGCCCTTAGACCAGCCGTGGGCAAACTACGGCCCATGGGCCGGATCCGGCCCATTTGAAATGAATAAAACTAAAAAAAAAAAAAAAAAAACAAAAGAATGTTCCGGCCCTCCGGTCCAGTTTAAGAACCCATTGTGGCCCTCGAGTCAAAAAGTTTGCAGGGATTAGGTGATAGAGGAATAGTCAGTCATTAACTTACCTATGAGACCAAGTTGAAACCTTGCAAAGGAGTTAATCCTTAAAGGGATTTAAGCTTGAGAAAAAACTAGCAGTAGTTTGCTGCGTACTGTGGACAGGTACCTGGAAGATGCTAAGGTGAGTGAGGTATATGTTCATTACCTTTGTACATTTGCTGCTGGCTCCTCTTCTGTAGGAATTCACCGTCAGTAGGATAAGAAGCATCTTCACTGCAGTGCAAAGGTGTGGAACGGGGGTTTTAGGCTTTGTGTTTGCGGGGCAAAGCCTCTTAAAGAAATAATTGTACAAAACAAGGAATTGTAGAAATTGGTGGGTTTGGTGTTGGGGAAGCTGCATTTAGTCAGAGAATACTGGAAAATGCAGAAAAATGAATTGCAGAGACCACAGAAAAAGGAATGGAGAGCAAGGAGAAGTCCAGAGGCAGCCAGGGTGGCTACAGGGCAGTTGGCCTCTTCCTCAAGACCTCAGCTGAAGCAGTGTTTTGCAATTCTTCTCTCCCTTATATTTCATTTTATTATTTTTTAAATCTTTATTGTTGAAAGTATTACAGATGTCTCCCTTTTTCCTGCTTTTACCCCCTCTACCCTGTGCCCTCCTCTCCCAGGCCTTCACTGCATTATTGTCTATGTCCATGGGTTATGCATACTAGTATATGCATGTAAGTTCTTTAGTTAATATCTTCCCAACCCTTCTTCCTCCCTCCCTCCCTCTCTTCCTCCACCCTTCTTTCTTTCCATTCTTTTTAAAAAAGTTTTATTGATTTCACAGAGGAAGGAAGAGGGAGAGATAAAAACATCAATGATGAGACAGAATCATTGATCAGCTGCCTCCTGCACTGGAGATGGAGCCTGCAACCCAGGCATGTGCCCTGACCAGGAATTGAACCATGACCTCCTGGTTCATAGGTTGAAGCTCAACCACTGAGCCACACCTGCTGGGCTCTCCTTCCGTTCTTAAAAATTAATTGTGGAAAGCTCACAATGTGCTAGTCGTTATGTCAGGTGCTTAGGGTACATTGGGGAATGTAATAGGCCTAGTGCCTACTCTCAGAGAGTTTAATAATCTCAGGTGTGAGTCAGACATTAAACAAATTTATAAATAACTAGAGGCCCAATGCACGAAATTCATGCTTGCTGGTACCAGCTTCCCTCTAGCACCCAGGACTCGGGCTTCCCGCGCAGCCCTGGCTTTGTCCGTAAGGTTGTCTGGAAGGACATCCAGTCTAATGAGTATATTATGCTTTTATTATTATAGACTGGAGCATGCATGGGCATGGTCCCTTGGCCTGGCCGGTGATCAGGGCTGACTGGCGGGTGGGATTGGGGGAACCATGGGAGGTTGGCTGTGGGAGTGCACTGACCACCAGGGGGCAGCTCCCGTGTTGAGCATCTGCTCCCTGGTGTTCAGTGCACATCATAGCTACCAGCTGGTCATCCAGTTGTGTGGTCGTCCTGTCATAACGGTTGCTTAGGCTTTTATATATGTAGATTATAAATTGTTATAAATATCGTGGAGGCAAAAAACAAAACAAAACAGGGCACTAAGAATAACCAGGAGGGGATCTAATTTGGATGGAATATGGAATCTGACTTGAAGTATGAGGGTGATAATCGGGTGAGGAGAATGTTCCAGGCAAAGAATAGCAGGTGTGACAGTCCTCAAAAGAGCCAGGTCCAGCTTAGGACTGCAGCCTTGTGACCAGTGCACATGCCGGGGTGACAGGGCTGCTGGGGCCCATGTCAGAGGCCTGCTAGGCAACAATAGAGATTTGGGGCTCTTTCTGAAGGGCTGGGGGACCCCGTAAGAGTGTTTAAATAGGGACCACAAGTCATCTGATTTTCTCTGTGACCACTGTGTGAAATGGGGCCTCTGCTGTGTTGAGGCCCAGAATCTGGGGAGAGTTGGGCAGTGTCCTGCCCCTTGAGCCCCTCCATGCACATAGTCTGGCCCGGACCTATGAGCATCCATCACCCTTCCCTTCCCCATCTCCAGGCGCTCTCATGTGCCAGGCGCGTAGGGCTCCTGCTTGGCAGCAGTCACCCTCGGGAGCTGACAGGGCCTCTGCCCTGTGGGGTCTGGGCTTCCGTTTAAAAGCATTGGTTTACTCGCCATTTCTGTCCTCAGGGCTTGTGGGGGTAGAAAATAATTTCATCAGCTGTGAAGTTCTGAAGGGACCCTTAGCTGTCAGGTGACCTAGTACCTCTGATTGTGAATGGCTAGAGGTAGGCCTGGAAAATGCTGAATGTGGTATTTCTTTGAATTGCCTCATTGCATCCTGAAGCCTCAGTAAAAGGTGCTTTGGGAGATATGGACCCTGATTCTTGAGTAATTGGAAGGGTGGTTCTGCAGTGGCCTAGGTGTCCACAGGCTGTGATCACTGGCATTCTAGCAGTAGCCTTTGTTCACTATCTTTACTTCCATTTCAGGAAAATACCGAGCAGCAGATGAAGAAAAAATTAGTCCACCTCCTTACTTAACGTGTGAGAGTTTCCCTCATGCTGTGGACCACATTCTGCAGCATCTACTGTGAACCATTGCGTGAATCAGAAGCAACTTGAAATGCAGCTTTTCATCGTCTGGAATGAATTCCTTACCAATTCAGTGCCAGCACAGGCAGACACAGCCCCCAACGCTGAGATGTGTAACCCTCTTGTATTGTGCACTAATTAGAAAGAAAGGTATTGAATTACAGCTAGCCACTAAGCCTTGCTTATCTCTTTTGTTGTATTTTGTAAAAGAAGATGAGACCTGAAGAAAAGGAAAACTGAGATTTTATGCCTTGCCTTTTAAAATATTCATCAGATTAGGCAGGGCTGGGAGGGAGAAGCTACTGCAGGGAGTCGAGTTCTGGGCTGTCTCCTCACTGCTAAATTGGGAGGGTGGGTTCAGATTGTGAATGAAGTTGAAAGATGCATTACACTACAGTTTTAATATTCAGTTCAGCTGTGAAACCCATCAAAAGTGCCAAGTGGAGTACAAGTCAGAAGAAGCAAAATAAATTGTCCTTTAGCCCAAGTGATTGAATGAATTTGCTTTAACGGATGTTGAAAACTAGATTATCTGGAGTATTATTCCCAGCACGGATGACTTCTTTTTCTCTTCATTAGCCAGAGATGACTAATTTAAATTTAGAACCTGATTTTAATTTAAAATAATATTTCCATTAATAACCTATTCATTGCAGATACCTATTATAGTGTGTAACAGTTGTTTTGGAAATTTTATGTAAAATTAAAACTATCAGTATTTTACAGATGTTTTAATTAGACATTGTTATTAACAGGAACAGTGCAGAAACTAAAATCAAGCCTTTAATGTCTTATAGACCATGCATTTTTGAAGTTAGTGTCCACAAGGGTCCTATTTACTGTACATTTGCAAGATTTCATTATTTTTGCCTCTGACACTATGGGAAAAATCTTTTAGAAGCTATTGGGACAGATTCAGGCTTTTATGTACTTGGTTACTACAGCTGTAAAATGAAATCTCGTCTGGTAGCATGGATTATTCTTCTCATGTTAAACCCACCAAAATGAAGGGGACTAAGTAGGTAATGATTTTCCTAGTGCATTTGCATACTGTGATAATCCTGGGCCTTTGCAATTGTGTTACAGGACTCTTGGGCATTGAATTATTAGCATGTAATTGTACATCATTGTAGTGTTCACCTTATTGAAGCACACACTGATGTTAATGAGCTTTGGGTTTTGATTCTTGTTTAGATATCAGCTTGGTCTTAGATGGGAGGGAGCAAAGCTAAATAAATGGCAGCTCCTCTCCTCGTCTCCTTTTGGTAGTTTGGTGATCACTCTTCTTGTTTTTGCAGATGCCCCAACTTGGTACCTAAACATCCTAGAGATAGATGTGACAGGACCACAACCCTAGATTGAAAGATGAGTGAGTGGCAGAGAGCATAGATTTTGGAGCCTAACCAGCACATAACTAGTTCTGTAATCCTGGGCAAGTGATCTAGCCTGGCATGCCTCCTTTCCCTTACCTGTAAAAATGGAGATAACGATGTGGAAAGGGTTGGTGGAATTCCTCTCTATAGTTCCTTCAATGGGGAAAGTCTTCCTGCGAGTTTAAAAAAAAGAAAAAACAGAAAAAGATGTTCTGTTACATTTCAGCTCCCTCAGAGCACAGCTGCACTCAGAGAAGCTCAGCGTGCAGGTAGAGTGCTGGTTGGTGCTGGTGCAGGGGCTGCATTAAACTTTGGCCTATCATCTGGGCGCCTGGATCAGTGATTGTTTGCTAGTTGCTCTGTGTTACGTGCCAGAATAGGAAATAAGCATGTAAGAACAGGAGTTAGCCTGGAGGACCCTTACTCATGGGGGAGCTGAGGGGAACACACAGCTCCATCTGTCCTCTGTGATGTCATCCTGACTGTGGGATGGAGAGGATTATTCCCATCTTCGAGCCGCGTAGCATTTATTAGATTTATTAGATTTATTAGATTACACTTAGGTCTTCACACTCTCTGTCCCCACCAGACAGGGCTGTGGCTCATTTTTTAAAAAAATATCTGCTACAGCACAGGCACTCAGATGGTTACTGAACCAATATAAAACTAGATGTAAATATTACAGGAATTTAACGTTAGAAGGTATAGCTGTGGGGTGGGTGGGGAGGGGGAGGGCGAGAACAAAATAAGATGCATTTTAGACTCGTTGCCATAGGGGAAGCCCCCTTAGACACTTGGAAATAATGGATCCAATGCTCTGGAGACAGGTTAGTGCCAAAGCCAAGAGGTAGGCATCACTGATGGCCAGGAATTAAATAGAGTGACAGGAATGGGTGAGATCACTTAAGCATAACATCCAGTGAAGAGAAATGGCTTCCCTACTTTGCTTCATTCTGGTTTGGCCCCGTGGGCCCTTACCATCTCAGTTTGATATTTTATTGATTTAACAAACATTATATAGGGCTCACTAGCCACCTGTCCACAGGTTCATGAGGATAAATAAAAATCTTGGTTTAGATCCAGGTTAGTATAAATTTTCCCAGCTCAGCTGATTGGTCTGCCCTGGGCCTCATGAAGCAGATTTTAAAACCAAACTATCTAAAGGACTTTATTTGTCAGCCCTCCCATGTAAAGGGCTATCTTGTGGTCCTAACCTCAAGGACAGTATTTGCATCCAGTTTACTGTGATTCTGTCCTGGGCCAGAATAGGGACTAAGTGACATCTTAGGACTAGAAAGGGTACTGGAGAACACCCGTTGTCAGGAGATGGTTATTGAGGATCTGCTGTGAGCCAGGCCCTTGCTAGGGTGGAGGAGGACGAAGCCCCAGGCCAATGGACGAGACACGTGCTTGCTGCACCTTCCCTCACACCTCCAGAATCTGCTAGTTTTGCATAGCTCCGCTACCATTCTACATCTGTCAGAGCCGATTGTAATGTCTAGGAAAGGAAAGGGAGCTCACCCTAAGCGACAGTTCCATCAAACACCTGTAGCTGTGGATGCCAGAAGTTTCCTCATCTCAATTTCACATTTAAATATTACAGTAGCATGTTGGACAGGTAAGTAAAAACACAGGTTGTGTTCGATTGGTTTTGCATCAATCATTGTTTCTGTAATATGAAACTGAAGTCTTTGGGTACCTATAATAAACATCCAGAGCAAGGCGCTTAAGCACCAGAAAATATCATAATTTAAACTATGTATCTGTTAAAAACAAACAATCAATTTGAATACCTTACTTTTTTCAGTGCTTACTCTCATGTCATACACAACTCAACACCTATTTGTTTCACTAGCTGTTGTGCCTGAGAAGATCAAACTATTAAATGCCCACTAGTGTGTAAAGCACTAAGGAAGAGAGAGCAGAATGTAGCTCCCACTCCTTAAAGGCGTATCTTCTAGTTGGGAAATCGATGCATATAAAAATAGAACTAATAGTGCAAAGGACACTGGCAAGTTCAAGGGTTTGTATAAGTCCTTTCAGAGAGGAGGTCATGTGCAGTGAGCTAAGTGCTTTGGCCAGTGCCAAATGTTTCATTCATTCAATAGCAGCGTAAAAAGTATCACAACCATGGTGTTAACATTTGAGTAGGGTATACAGATGAAACATACAACAGATACTGATAAAGTGATGAAGATAACTAAAGCCAGTAAGAGTGAGGGTGTTATTTTATAATTAATGTTATTATTTTACAATATACAAAATAAATCTATTACCACATTGTAAATACAAAATAATTAGCCACTTACATGCAATAAACATTAATATTGCAAGAAAAACTTTTAAAAATAATGTTAATGCAATAAATGTTAATATTTCAAGAAAAAAAATCAATATTACCAAAATTGTACTAACATAATATCACAAGTTGTAGAAAATATTAAAAACCTGCAAATAACAGGATTACTTATATTTTAAAATATTTTTTCCTCTGGCTCTATTTTTCTTCATCAGTTTATGTTCATTATATTCCACAAATGAGTGAGATCATGTGATATCTTTCTCCAACTAGCTTATTTCACTTAGCATAATGCTCTCCAGGTCCACCCATGCTGTTGCAAATGGTAAGAGTTC